GACGGGGTTTCGGAAGTGGCGGCTGAACATATTAAAGCGAGTGGGGTGATAGGAATTGAAGTTATGATGAGAATTGCTAACAGTATGTTTGATGATGAAGGTATACCTGAGGATTGGCGACACAGTGTGTTGGTGCCGTTGTATAAGGGCAAAGGAGATGTGAGAGATTGTGGGTCATACAGGGGTGTGAAATTACTAGAGCACGGAATGAAGGTAGTGGAGAGGGTGCCTGAGAGGAGGTTGAGAAGTATGGTGACAGTTAATGAAATGCAGTGTGGGTTTATGCCTGGTAGGGGAACGGTGGATGCGTTGTTCATGGCGAGAATGTTGCAGGAGAATTATAGAAAGAAGAAACGAAGATTGTACATGTGTTTTGTGGATCTAGAAAAGGCTTTTGATCGAGTACCGAGGAAGGTCATTGAATGGGCGTTGAGGAAGAAAGGAGTGAATGAGAGACTTGTTAAAGCTGTGATGCAGCTGTATGAAGGGGCAAAGACAAAGGTGAGGGTTGGAAGGGGGATGTCGGACGCTTTTAGTGTTAAGGTAGAAGTGCATCAAGGATCAGTGTTATCACCGTTTCTGTTTGCAATTGTGATGGATGTTGTGTGTGGAAACATAATGGAGGGGTTGTTATTTGTGATTTTGTATGCAGATGATTTAGTCTTGATGGCTGATAGCATGGAAGAATTGCAGTTAAAATTTGACAGATGGAAAAGTGTTATTGAAAAGAAAGGGTTAAAAGTTAATATTGGTAAGACGAAGGTAATGGTGAGTGGGGAAGGTGGGGAACGAGTGATAAGTAAAATAGACCCCTGTGGGGTATGTGATAGGAGAGTGAAGGCTAACTCGGTATTGTGTATAGGATGTCAGAAATGGGTGCATAAGAGATGTAGTGGTGTGAGGGGGGCACTGAAAAAGGTGGAAGGCACGTTCAAATGTAAGAAATGTGTTCATGGTGTGATTAATAGGACGGACGCAAGGACGGGGTTGAGTGATGGTATTGAAAGAGTGGAAAGCTTTGTTTACTTAGGGGATAAGCTGAATGCGGATGGAGGATGTTTGAGCGCAGTTACGGCTAGAGTTCGTGTGGGATGGATGAAATTTATGGAACTGGGTGGGGTATTGTGTGGAAAGAAATGGTCAGTGAAGATGAAAGGGAGGGTATATAAAGCATGTGTGAGAGCAGCGATGATATATGGTGGTGAAACTTGGGTGTTGAGGAGAGAGGAGGAAAGTGTACTGCAGAGGGCTGAAAGAGCTATGGTGAGGATGATGTGTGGGGTTAAAGTGAAGGATAGGAGGAGGAGTACAGAGCTGATGTCGATGATGGGACTGAATGAGGACATTGTGACATTGATAAGGAGATCGAGATTGCTGTGGTATGGACATGTGTTGAAAAGGGATGAAAGGGTCGGTATTAGGCGAGCGTTGGAGTTCGAGGTTGAAGGAGTGGTAGGAAGGGGTCGTCCGCGATTGGGATGGAGAGAGCAGGTGGAGAAGGACAGGGTGAAAGCGGGGTTGCGTGATACTGAGGCGAGTGACAGATGTGGATGGAGTCGAGGGGTATTTCGGTTTCATCATAGGTAGCCAAACGGCAACCCCCGATCTCGGGGAAAATGCCGTCTAAACGTGTGTTTTTTTGTTTGTATATAATATATATATATATATATATATATATATATATATATATATATATATATATATGTTGGAAGGAGACTATGTTTTATACAGTATTGTATGAATTCTTCTGAATTTATACAATACTGTATAAAATATGGTCTCATCCAACATTTACGCGTATTTTTACGACCGAGCAACAAAACCCGACAACCAGACAACCGAGCAAGAACGTGACCAGCGATTGCTTCATCTTTCCCGGGAGTTAGAGGCAAAACAAAATATAGTTAAGCATAGACAAACATTAAAATGATTAATGCCAACAATTTGGTAGATTTCATACAATAATATATGCAGTAATTTATGAAATATACAGAATTTTTACCGTTGGATAGTTTTTTATTACATTTCTCAATATTTCGAACCAACTTCTTGTCGTCATTATTTATTTTGTTAAGGTCAGAATAATATACAGTTTTCCAATTCATTCTTTTGTATATTGGACCTATTTCGATTTTTTAATCATCTTCAGCAATTATTGCAGTTTATATAGTAATTTGTATAACACAGTACCTGTTGCAGTTTATATAGGGAGCCATCTTCAATATAGGGAGCCTTACTCTTGTCAACAACACAAAAATAATATATAAAATACTATCGCAACACAACTAAGAATTGCAGATTACACTTGTATTTTTAATTTTAATAAATTAAACAATTTTCAGAAAATTTTAGTAAAAAAAATACAAACTAAGTGATTGACTAAAAATTTGGTTGAATTCATGGAATACTGTATATATGTGTGAGCATGTATGTATGAATATATAAACTAACCCAAACGTTGATTAAACCCAGAATGGGAAAACAGGTTCAGACTGTTTTCTCTGCATATGCACCACAGACCGGTGAAACTAAAGACGCCAAAAATGACTTTGGGAACACACTCTCAGATGCCTTGAGGAAAACACCATTATCAGAGATACCATTGATATGTGGCGACCTTAACGGCCATGTTGGAGATAAAGCAAATGGGTTCCACGGTGTCTATGGAGGCTTTGGCTACGGGTCTCAAAATGAAGACGATGTACGGATTCTGGAATTTTCTGAAAGCCATGAACTCTCACTGTTGAACACCTGTTTCAAGAAGAGAGCAGAACATTTGATAACATATAAAAGCGGGATGTCATGCACCCAAATTGACTTTATTGTCGTCAGACAACAACACAGACTATTATTCGGGAATACAAAAGTCATTCCAGGCGAAGCATGCATCCCTCAACATCGATTGCTGGTGGCCGATATGATCATGGAACGATCACGCCCTGTGACTGATCGAATGCCTACTAGAATAATAAAATGGAAACTGAAAAAACTGAACTGAAACAGGGAGAAATTCGAGGAGTTGGTATCGGTACAGCTGGATCGTCTGGAGAAGATAGACATAACCTGGAAATCTTTTCAGGACACCCTAGTGAACGCTGCAACAGCTGTATGAGGAAAATTTGGACCAATATGCCAGCACAACCGCGAAACTTGGTGGTGGAACGAGACGGTGCAAAATGCTATTGCCAGTAAGAAAGCAGTTTCAAACAATGGCAGAAGACGAAGACTGATGAAGATCGAAAGACATACGAATCAAAGAACGCAGAAGCGAAATGTCAGGCTGTGATAGCTCGTGCAAATCAATGCAAGGTATGGCTGACAGTAAGTAAAGGCGAACAATTTCGGTTACTCTACCGAATAGCAAATCATGCTAAAAGACTGAAAAACGATATAGTTGGTGCCACATGCATAAAGAATAATAGAGGCACCATAATAACCTTGCAGAATGAAGCGAAGGATCATTGGAAGGATTACTTCGATCAGTTATTTAATGAAACATACCTTATTGGGGTGGTCTTTGATGCACTTCCGGTGGAAAGACCGATTCAGGACATCACAGCTGAAGAGCTTACGGATTTCGTATGCCCCGCCTGCATCAACCCACGACAGCGGAACGCAGATAATGATACGATTACCGGGATCGAAACTGTTACTTCATTTCAGATGTGCTGGATTGTACTGGAACAGCTGATACCGTTCTTGACTCGGTACTGATGCAGCGTAGCATTCCTCTACCGCTCGCTCAGAGCTATACAACACAGCTATACGTTCTGTTCTGATGTATGGTGCAGAGACATGGCCGATGACAACAAAACTCGAACAGCAGCTTCACCGAACTGACATGAACATGATTTGTTTGATGCAACATGTTGACCTAAGGGACCATATCCATACAATCGAGATCCGGAACGGATCGGGACTGTGCACGTTGAAGGATGCATTTCGTCGTCATCGCCTACGATGGTTTGGCCATGTAAAGCGGAAGCAAAAAAGATCAATAATTTTTCTTGCTGGGGCACAGTTGCCTGGCAACCCGCCAATAGGGTCGCCCAAAAAAGTCCGGGACGCGGCCATAACGGAAGGGTTGAAGGCCCTGGGTTTCAAGGAGACAGACACATTGGATAGATCGGCTTGGAGATAGAATGGATAAATTAAAAAAGTCCGACCCATAACGGATGGAGACAATAAACGAGGATTGATTGATATTGATATGTATATATATATATATATATATATATATATATATATATATATATATATATATATATATATATATTTATATATATTTAACGATATATATATATATATATATATATATCGTTAAATTTATATGCCCATTCTGCATTTAGTAGTTTTTTATAGACAACTTCAACACGACGTAAATTTTTATACTCGTATTTATTTAATGTCATAATTTAATTAATGTTTTTATAAGTGTCAGCTGACAGTGCTGTTTCGGCTATTTAGCCATCGTCGGAGCTTTAAAACAAGGTTAAATAAAGGAATAAACATGAAAATGAAATTGATAATTAAATAATTAAAACGAAGTTAAATAAGGTAAAATTAAGTTATTATATATTAAAATAATGCAATTAAATTATATTAAATATGTCCAATTAAAATTCAAAAACAACAATTTTACAACTTTTGAAATTCATTGATGAGGTAACTGCATCACTTGAGTCGGGTATGGGCACAAAAATACTGGTTAATGTTAGTGTTTCAGTAAATTGTTTGTAAATTTTATACCACTCCTTGACTGTTGAGAAAATAGATACGTTATTCGCTGACTTTCGGAAGATATTAACTTTCTTGACTGCCGATTTGTCCATATTTACCAAACTGCTAACACGAGGTTGTCGTCGAAATAAAAAAAACAAAATGAAAATAGAACTTTCTGATCACGTATTTATCTGTGTAAACAGCTGATAAAGACAGATTCTGTATTCAAGCTGCATACTTAATGTTGTGTTTTGCTGTTTTGAATAGTTGAAAACAAACTAAATAGAAAACAATAAGCGTAATGTACGTATACTAATTTTACGTAAAATAAATATAACACTCTATAACCAAACGAATTGAACGGACTAAAAAGCATGTCACAGTAAGTCACACTGTACATTAATTATCGCCCAAAAACAAATAGAATAAATAGTGATGTGCCTTGCACATAACACAATGAATATTATTTATCGTCATGCATATGCATCTGTGAGCTTGCTTAGCCTTAAACAAAGTAATAATAATCTAACTTTTTCAATTGCGTTGCTGTTCAAGCTATGAAGTTTCTCATTAATTTTCAACATTTTTGGAACTTCGCCATCAAAGTTAAATAAACTGCAGTTTTCCCTCTAAAATTTTTCCTGTCCCGCGGTACTTCCTGCACGAAAAATATCCGCCCCGCGGTTTTCCCTCTCTTTTCATTCCCGCCCCGCGAGTTTCCCTCCAACTTCTGTTCCCAACCCGCGGTTTTCCCGCGGATATTTGCGGGAAATTTTCCATGTAGACCTCTAATGCAGACGATGCTAAGGTCTTTGGGTCAGTGTCTTCGCCACAGGATGGAGTTGTGTTACAAGGTTTACTAAACAACGTAATATCGTAGTTCCAAAATTGGATGCTGAAAGTCAATGTCAGCAAATGCAGCCTGTTGACAATAGGAAGATGTTTGTCGACGACCTATTTCATCTTTGACTCAGATAATAATCCTAATGTCTTGCCTTCGGTGGATAGTATCCCTGATCTTGGCGTGGTCATAGACAGTCACCTGCAATTCAAAGAACGTCATTTCAGTTGCCTGTCTGACGACGCATTTATATGCATCTACAAATCTTTAGTTTGTTTGCATCTAGAATTTGCTGTCCAAATTTGGAATCCTTACAGGAAAGGCTTAATCAATGATTTCGACAGAGTTCAAAGAGCTACAAAAATTTCTCAGTCTTGCAAGAATCTAGATTACCACTCAAGATTAGTAAAACTAAATCTACCTTCCCTTGAATATTGCAGACTCAGAGGTGACTTAATCCTTGTCTATGAAATATTGCATAATCTGGTAGACTCAGCATTTTGTCCTCAGTTAAGCCGACGAGCTGAAATCAACTTCAGAAGTCATCATCTCAGCTTGTGTACTCGATTGGCAAAGAAAGACTGCAGAAAACTCTTTTTCCCAAACCGTGTTGTAGCCCCATGGAATGCATTGCCAAGCGACGTTGTTGATGCTCCATCTCTGGAAATATTTAAAATTAGACTTGATAATTTTTTTAATGTCGAAAAGATTCTTAACATCTCAAGGAAATAAATTTGTTCTCGTCTGCTGATTTCACGTATTTTTAAAATTATTTTGTACATTTAAACTTTAATAGTTTTGTTCATTCTTCTGTTATTTGTTTTATAGTTATGGGCAAGTTTTGCCCATGCCTTATTTCTGAATAATAATAACACGTTATAATGTGTGTGTGTGTGCGTGCGTGATGTTGTTAGCTAAAAATGGTTTATTCCAGTATTGATTTCTAAAGATCTTTGTCGTAGTGCAGTCTTTGTCTTTGGTTAAATAATATCAGTGCAAAGTATCCAGTCAAAAATGTAAAAACGACATTAAAAATTTTATAGTTTGTAGTAAAAAATAGTAATACAAAATTTATTTCTTTTATTTCAAATTATTTGATTAACGGAACGTTAGTAATACAAAATGCAAGTCTCCAATTCAATTCTATATTCAGAATTTTTATATTTTTTTGGTTTTTTTTCATTTAAGAAAATCTATGAATTATTTCGACTAAACCTAAAGATATGTTACAAAGTACATCATTTTCTATTGATAAAATTGACATATTATTCAGTCTATTTTCAGACATATTTGATCTACAATGAGTTTTAATTCTTGGTTTTCTCTGGCGATTTATTTATATTGATAACCACTAAGTCGTTTCCTTCCATCAGTCATTTTGATTTTTTAGGATAATATATAATAAGTAAATTTTATTAATGATTTATTATTTCTAAGTATTAAGATATACGCTTAAACAATAAGGTTTTTTATTTTGTTCCGAAAAATCAATTACAAATTTTTAAAAAATTTTAAACAATCCTAACAAAGATCAGAGAGAGGCTAACACAAAATTTGAAATAACTTTTCTATCACTTTCAATTTCAATTTAGGAACTATTCGGTTGTCTGACATCACCCAAAACTACATGCCTATCAATTTAAACTTTTTATCAAGAATTTATTATTGTTTAACATTGTTATTGAATGATATTTGATAATAATGCTGATAATAATATAAATCTGAACTGCATCATATAACCTCAAACTATTGTTTAAAAAATTCTACCGCACCAGTATTTACATCTATAACAAAATAATCACAACTATTAATATCATTATAACTGTGCAGACTACACAAAAATAAAATTGTCTCAATGGTCATATATTAATTTTTGGCGTCTTGCATAAACATGATTTTGATTCAAGATAATTTATGTTATTTATTTTATTTAACATCAAAATTTGCCGCCCCTAAAATTAGCTGCCCTAGGCTCTAGTCTTTTTAGCCTATTGGTAAATACGGCTCGTAATCAGCTTATTGGTTAGCTGATCATAGGACTAGTTGCTAGTTGGTCATCTGATTAATTAACCATTTTGTCAATAATCAAATTTGATAACCATTTGATCGTCCATTAAAATAGCAGCTTTATGCAAAGAATGTAACTTCATCACCATGTAGGTTTCAGCTTGGGGAGGCTACGTTTTCATCATCAATCTGATACCATTACATGTCTTTGTCTTGTTGCTTATGGGAAGGTACTCATCGAGGATTTTTGTCGGTTAGTAGTTAATGTTGGCGTTGCTATTGAAGATACAGGTGATGGCATATAAATAATAATTTACGGAGTTAACAGAGAGAGTTAGTTAATTATCAAAATGAGAATTCTATAAATTGATTTAAATCAATGAATTTTGCATTCAGCATTACGCAAGCTGGTCTACAACAGAATTGCTATTATATTTCATTTTAATATGATTTTATTGCATCAAAATTTTATCCAACTATTAAGATCCTTTCATTAAATATATTTCGTTGTACACATGCGGCAAATTTTTCAGAAAACTTTAAACAAAGGGAGACTATGCCTTTTTTTTATATTTTCCAATTTAGTTTACACTTACAATCTTATGAAAATATTGCTATTTTAATCGAGATTATGGACTGTGTGAAAATTTGGTAGAAGGTCCTCAGAAAAGTTGAACGTTTTGAGACCGGCGTTGGAAACTATATAAGGACGTATTATGTCATTCTGTGAATCTGTATTTGCAGGAATATTTCTTTCCATTCATATTAATTCTGTAAACCTTTAATTGCTGCAACATTTCTTCCAAGTCAATTAGATTATTATTGTTATTAGATTTAGTCTCAGCTAGGCATGGCTAAATTCATCTAGTATAACACAAAATAATGCTGGTAATAAGGAAGATCTGTTTGTCATCATGATGATGATGATGATGATGATGATGATGATGATGATGATGATGATGATGATGATGATGATGATGATGATGAACAGATGTTGTTTATACACTGAATTATTTTCTCTAATCTTCTTTGAATATGTATTGATCATGTTTATATAGCACGAATTTGAAGCTAGAATGAGCAGAATAATTTTTGTAAGGAGAACCATCTATGTTTATGCAACTCATGCAATGTGGATTTAGTTTTATACATCTGTTATTTAAAAATTTTTGTGTTTTGATGAAGATTTGGGGTAGTTGGCTTGAACATTCAACTTCAGGGCAGACAGAACTTTTAGACAGACAGACAGAACAATTTATATGCAACAGTGATTTATTTGGATTTGTGAAATAAAGTGAAGATGATTATTCTAAAGAAGCAAGTGCTTAAATGGTCAGATAAAAATTGTTAAAGCAACATAAAATAAAAAATTAAGGGGCTGTTCAAAAATGCGAAATTAAAATTTGAATAAAAATTTTGCTATGACAATGATCTACACGTGGACAACTGCAATAAATATTCTTGGAAAGCTAAAGTTGTATTGTATTTCATTGGTCTTTCGTCAGACATGTGTTGTTGTGTACCAACGAGGCGTCTAACTTCTTTACATCTGAGCCATTAAAAGGATGAACTTATACTTAAAGAAACGAGTTCATTTGTTCATTATCAACGTTCTAAACGATAAAACTTGAGTAGAAAAATCTATGCATATCAAAAATATTATTTTAAAATGGCATCCGCAATTTTTATTCAAAAATTTAAAAAAGAGAATATTGATGGAGGTAATGGGTGATTTAAAATGTGCTTCTTTAAAAATAAAATTCATGTTGTGGATAAGTATTGATTTGTATATTGATTACCGAGTAGGTTATTTTATACGGTTTGGTTAATTGTATGCTCACTATCTATTTAACACATTTTTAAATTAATCTGAAAAGCTGACATTCTTTAAAGTTTTTAAAACTTGTTAATGAGTTTGATATCTTGTAATTATGTTTTATTTATTTATTTAATACACATTAGCTCAATTCATTTTGTGTTGATCTTTGAACAGCATCAACATATTTACTTTGAAAATTCACGATAATTGGAAATAGTGCTTGTAATCGTTTCACTACTTTCTTGCAGCTAAAAAGGAATAACTCTTCCATAAGAAGCACATGCTTGAAGATAATAAGAGACAGTATATATAAGTCTGACATGCAAAGCTGTGACAAGACAGTATTTTTTTTATTCTTTAAAAAATCAGAATCTGACAAACGCAGAAACTGTTACAGCATGCAAAGGCAATAATATAAAATGATAACGAAAAATAAATAGGGGAAAAAGTTTAAGCATAAAAAGTATGGAAAATAAAATAAAGTAATGGTTTAAAGAGACAAATGAATAAAATAATTCATGTCACCGTTAAGAGGTGTCTAGGAGCATACAGAACATCACCATCCATAAGTCTCCATGTTTTGGCAGGAGAAATGCCACTAAATTCAAGACATCAAAAATTAGCCATAAATTACTTTCTAAAAATTAAATCTCAGATGAAAAACCCGGCATATAAATACATAACTGCAAAAACTAAGGCATCAAATCAATTCCAACATTTCCAATAAGACTAAATGAATTCATCAGAAACATTAAAAATATAAAAACAATGGAAGAATTAAAGTTAAATTAGTTAAAGAAAAAATTAATAACAATTTAAACTTTATTCAAATATATTCAGATGGATCAAAAAGGGAAAATTCAACGTCTGCAGCAATGGTGACCTACTGGCAAAGGAAACGTGTTCATGGATTAATGATGCACCTACTAGGACCTGGTTCAATATACACCGCAGAGATCCTTGCTATAGACATGGCTTTAAACTTTATTATTAATTCAGAGAAAAATAAATTCATAATATTTTCGGATTCCCTGCCTACTCTATCAGCCCTGAAGCAATACAAACCTCTAAATCCATTAATAATTCAAATGCAAAATAAGATTCATAATATCCTGGATAGCAACAAAAAATTAATTAATTAATTATAATGTGGATCCCCAGCCACATTGGAATTAAAGGAAATGAACAGGTAGGTCAGATGGCTTCGCAAGCTCATTCGATGCCATTATCTAGAGTTCCAATTCCGTCCAGTGATTTAAAGAAACAAACAACCTTATTGTTGAAAAATGGCAGCCGGAGTGGAATAAAACATCAAATTTTTTAAAATTAATTATGCCATTAGTAAATAACAAAAAGCTCAAAAATAGTTATTTAAATCGTCATCTTCAATCTGTTATCAATAGATTAAAAATAGGACACTCAGCAATCACACATTCTTGGATCCTCAACAAAACAAAGCCACCTTATTTTTGAAGCCTGTGACAAAAAACTATCTATTCAGCATATATTAACTGAATGTGAAAAATACGATCAGATCAAAAGAAAACTCGAGGAACATGTCTCGAGACATCCGAGGCCAAGACAAGAAATTCGAGACAAAAACGAGACCAAAATTTGAAAAAAAAATCAATGTTAATTTTCAAAGAAATTGGATTTGAGATGGATTTTTGTCACCTAAGTTTGGATGTGTATATATATATATATATCAAGTCTAAAATTTTGATGTCTCGAGGCGAGATTAAGACTGTATAGAGCTCGTCTCGAGACGAGACGTCACTGACGTCACAGCCCTGCTGACATGATCGAAAGTTAAAATATATATATTGAGTTTAATTATTATTAGCAAATAATGAAAGTGTTTGTATGTAGTTACTTTAGAATAAATTCACAAACAAAATGCAACAACAAACACATGAAAATATTGATTTGCAGCATATTCATCGTTTTACATTGTTGGTCTCCTCTGCTCCATGCAAATTCCGTTCGTGGGCATGCAACCAGTTCGAACCAGTGAACACATGGCTTCTGCCGGTCAGTTCATTTTTTCATGATTCATTTATTTGCAACAACTCTGACTTTCATCTTTTAAAGAACGGACTATCTGATTTTTAATGTCTATGCTTTCGGTAATTAGACAACAATTTTATAAAAATTTCAAATATATGGTTAGCAATTCGGTTGTGCCAAAAAATCAAAAATTTTCAAAATTTAATTGTACGTTTCATCTAATTTTGATAATCAATTTATAAATACAAATCCTGTAATGCTGAAAAATGTTGTGGTATCAGGTGTTAGTTTTTTTTTCATGTAATATCCACAGATTCTTATCTTATGGTAATTTAATGAAATTCATTTTCTTTCAACATTCTAGGTGTGTTCTGCCTGTTGTTTGCATATGCTGCAATAAACTTCATACAAAGTCACATGAACAAAAAAGACGTGAAACATTTCTTCTTCATGGCTGTCGCTACTGCGGCTGGTTTGGTCTTCCTTGCTGTCGTGGCACTCACATATGCTGGTTGGGACTTTTGTTTCTAGTTCTTCGTTTGTCTGAGTGTATGTGTGTGAATGTGGTCTGCCTTTGGTCGTTTGTATGTATGTCTGTGATTTGTATCCGGGGTTGTTTGTATGTGTGTCTGCGTGTGTGTTGGTAGTTGTCTTGTTTTTGGTTGGTGTCTGTGCATACCTTTGTTTGCGTGATTTGTGTGTGCTTGTGAATGTATTTGTCCGTGTATGTTTTATTTGTTGTTGGTGTCTTTGTCGTTTGTATATATGTATGCATGGGATTATGCTTGATATCTCTCTCTCTCTTTTATTTATTTATTTATTCTTTTATTTATTAGCATTGAGTGTTTATTCTAATTTGTATGATCACTGTAAAAAAAACATACTAGAATGTAATGAATAAATTAAAGAAAAATTATAAAAATGTTTATCAGATACTGAGGTCGAAAAGTCTAGGCATAGGTTAAGATTGGTAATTTCAAATATCTTTATAATAGTTATAAAGCCTGTGGTCTCTAGTCATTGGCTATGTTTGGTGTGTGGGGCTGGAGCTGAAAACAACTCAATCAAATTCCTACGATGTCAGCAGATAATGTTCGAAAATTACCGGCTCTTTGAGGAAAGTATGCCTCGCCTGCATCAACCCGCGACAACGGAGCCCAGATAATGGTACGATTACCGGGATCGAAACTGTTACTTCATTTCAGTAATTGGGAGATATGCTGGATTGTACTGGAACAGCTGATGCCGCCTTTGTGGACGCATACGTGCGGCGTGGGGCAGATGGCATCTTCTTGCCTCTGTACTGATGCGGCTTAGCATTTCTCTACCGCTGCGCTCAGATCTTTATAACACAGCTATACGTTGTTCTGATGTATGCTGCAGAGACGTGGCCGATGACAACAAAACTCGAACAGCAGCTTTACCGAACTGACCTGAATATGATTCGTTGGATGCAGCATGTTGACCTAAGGGACTATATTCATACAACCGAAATCCTGAACCGATCGGGATTGTGCTCGTTGAAGGATGCATGTCGTCGTCATCGCCTACGTTGTGAAACCATGTGAAGCGAAGCGAAAACGATACAATAATTTTTGTTGCTGAACGCCAGTTGCCTGGCACCCGCACAATAGGTCGCCCAAAAAAGTCCTGGACGCGGACCACGGACTTGAAGGCACTTGGTCTCAAGGAGACAGACGCAATGGATAGCTCGGCTTGGAGACAGAAGCTGATGAATGGAATAAAAAAAGTCCTACCCATAGCGGATGGAGACTATAAACGAGATTGATTGATTGATTATAATGGTTATAATTATAATGCGTGAGGATAAAATAAAAGTAGAATTTATGTGGATAATAAACATTGTATAAAACATGTAAAATAGGAGTGTAAAAAATTGGTGTAAAGGTAAAACGATATAAAATACGTAAAATTTACGAAGTAGTTGGATTTTGAATACTGATCAACATTTATTTACATGAACAAATTATAAAGAAACTAGGTTACCCGGCAAACTTCGTACTGCCTCAATCGATAAATAAGACAAACTTTTGTATAAAATAATTTAAAAAAAAACAAAACGAGTTCGTATTTAATAAAAAAAAGCATATTTTGAATGAAGCATGAAGTTTTATTATTATTTTCGACACATCATGTTGCTTAATTACAAAATAGATTTTTCCTGAAATACTGGCTATTTATAATGTTCAAATTTGATATTGACAGACACACACTGAAACAGCTTGTTAATCAATTTAAAGCTTTCTCATAAACTATATTTTTTGTTTTGTAGTGCGTAAATAAACAAAGAAGACACATTTCTGACGCGCGAACACGCGACATATAATTGTCCATGCGCGAAACAGGGAAACTCCAAATTGATTTTGCAAACTTCTAATGACTGTCCTTGCGATTTATTTATGGTCATCGCAAAGGCCAGACATACTGGAAATTGTAAGCGTTTAAAATCGAATGGTAGATCCGTTGAAATCTTCGGTATCCGTGGGATCAAGACATCCTCTCCTTTGTATTTTCCTTTCATGATTGTTGCCTCAATGATGTTATTCATCAGCTTTTTTACAGCCAGTCTTGTTCCATTGCACTGTCGAGGTTGATTAATGTTACGCAGCATGATGACAACTGACCCTATTTTTTACTGCAAAATGTGAGGTGGTAATCCAGACAATTCCAGTGAATTTAGAAACTTTGTGGGATAGTTGACTACGTCATCCGGTTCATAACGGTGTCGACTGATTTGAAGGAAACTAACTGTCTGGAAGAAAATTCTGAATGGTCGCATTGAGATCCTCGACATCTTTATTTTTTGCCGCCAATATTGCTCGTTCACCCAGCCAATTATGGTTATTGAACTTTTGCGCTATATCTGGGAAAACATGCTAAATTAGCCCCTCCTTTGAGTTTGTGATGTGACAGAAATCAGTGGGTAACGTGATGAAGCCGATCGAGATGTCCACTGCAACTTTATTATTATTATTTTTATTATCACTAAATAACGCAATAGCTTATAGAAATACGACTATTTTCTGGATCTGTCTCTCTCTGGTCATCATGATTTCTATTAGAACGTGGGTAGCTCTTCGCACATTTGATTGACGGCGACGACCCAAGTCAGGTTGTCTTCTCGGCATCGTAAATTGCAAATAATCGAAGTGAGAAAATTTCTCGCTCACTTAGCAGTAAAGTGTCACAATCACAAAATATCCATAAAAAAGAGCACTTTACTCTGAATGTCACTATCACAAAGGATCGACAAAGTAAAGAAAGTTCTCGCGCACTCATAGATATCGTAACACAATATCGTAATATTTTTTTCCGTGTTCTTAAGTGCGACAGGATTGGTTGACATATTAGTGGAACTTTATTGAATATCATTAAAGTTCAAATTGACTCTAAATTTTATTTTGAGAACGTTTATATGGGAAAAGAAGGGCTGTTTTTTAGGGTTTTTTCTGCAATTATTCGAATTTTTCTCACCTTTTAAACCTTTCCTAAACCTCCACAAACATTTCAAGATAAGATAAATCCGTTCAGCCGTTCTCGAGTTTTAGCGAGACTAACCAACAGCAATTGATTTATATTTATTTATATCTAAATTTTATTTAGAGAACGTTTATATGGGAAAAAGAAGGTCTGTTTTTAGGGTTTTTCCGACAATTATTCGAATTTTTCTCACCTTTTAAACCTTCTCTAGACCTCCGCAAACATTTCAAGATCAAGATAAGATAAATCCGTTCAGCCGTTCTCGAGTTTTAGCGAGACTAACCAACAGCAATTGATTTATATAGATAGACAGAGAAAAATTAGGTGTTGCATTGAAAATATCACTTTTAAGCAAGTTCTTAGGCGTAACAGATCCTATACTTTCGGGAAGAGGAATAGATGTCATTCAACCAGTTATCAAAATTAGTGTTGTAAGAATCTAATATTATTTGTAGTTCATCAACTTTAGATAAATTACTGTAGAGAGAAATAAGTAGTGAGTGTTTTAATAAATCAAAATAATTGGATAAATTATATATAAATAATAAGTCACCTGCATAGTATGCATCAGGATCAACAGTAGAAATTTTGTTGACGATTTGCCGTTGGGGATCGTGGGTGGTTAGGCGATGATTTGAAGACAGGAGTGCATGCGATGGTGACAGTCCCATTGATTCCAGTTGGTTATTAAAATCTTTTTGCAGTAGCTCTTAAGTTTACTAATCCCAAAAACCACCTTTTCGATGTTTTTGAGGCTGATGACAGTTTACATTGGTGTCCGGTGAAAAGACCACCGGACAAAAGACCGCCAGCGTAAGGTCGTCAAACAATAAGATCGCATAACACAAAGGCCGCAAAACAATAAGGTCGCAAAGCAATTAGACCGCATACATAATAATCTATAAAAATAATTATTATAGTATAATAATAATCATAATCGACCCATAAAAAATCTTCCCCTTTTATTACTGATCTACGACTTTATTACTCGCTTTGAACAAGCAATCCATGCTCTACTGTTTAGAGTGTTACAAATTTCTTCGATGCAGTTGCTGAGAATCTACCTCGCACAAACAACACAGTGGAGAGTTGACATTGCCGATTTAATGAAGTAGTTGGAGCGCATCATCCAACTATATGGAAATTAATTGATAGCTCGGGAACTGAGCAGAAGTTCAATAAGGAAGCTATCGAATGTCTTATTCAAGGTCGACAACCGCCCACCAGCAAAAAAATGTACTGAGATGTTTCGGCCAGAATCGCGGCAGCCGTTGGCAATTATGCCATGATTAATAACATCGATTATTTACGTGGTATTGCACATAGTTTGAATTTCAACGTTTAGAATTTATGGAACCCTTCATGTGTTCATGTACAAATTTTTATGTAAGTTTTGTACAGACCAGCTATCACTTATTTTTGTTGTCGACGTGATGATCTTGAAAATTAAAACATTATTTCTTAGAACATCGTTTTGTTGACCTATGTTATCAAATTCAGTGCTGTATGTACATAGAATTTCAAACATTAGAGTAATGGCGACATTTTTAACTTTTCTACCTTATAACGACCTTTTTGTCTGGCGATCTTACTGCTTAGCGACCTTACGTCCGGCGGTCTTTTGCTGGCGACCTTTTCACCTAGAACCCTTCACATGACCCTGATTGTTTGGTCACTATTGCAACAGGAGCTTAACGTTTTGTCTTGGGAGCAATAGTAGTCCCTCTCGGTTCATTCTAAAAAGAATGTGAGTTTTCATTGTTAATAGTCAGGTTAGCATTAATGTGAATAACTTTATCGCCTTATGTTAACACGTCAGCTCATGAAGATGGATTGTTGACCGATTGTTTGGGTCCAGTGGCGATAAAGTAAGACTCGATTCGATGAGCTTTGAGTCACAATTACTGGATGCGACTTCATCTGGGAATTTTGCATCAAGTTTTTTTAAGACTTCTGCGTTATTGCTGGTTAGTGAAGCGTTGTTTGATTTCATTTTTTATCGATTGTATTTCTGCTGCGTGGCCGTACTGACTGTTTATGAGACGTTGATGTTTGAGCAATGCTTGGTCGGCGTTGCATTTCAATTCGTATTCGAGAAATATGGAATAAGTTAGAGCTAACATAGGTTGGTAGCTTCGATGCAAACTAGATTTATAGATATGATCGAGGATACGGATAATCTCCCTGATCTTATCTTTTTTGTTAGCTTTTTGCATGCACGTGATTTGTCCAGGTACGGTAATTTTTAATAATTCAACGTCGTTTTCAATGCTTTGATCTCAGAAGATATTTCTATTGGGGTGGAGAAATCTCCAGAGTTTTGTATAAATATTTCAGTATTTAAATGAAAATTGATGAAGAGTATAAAATTTCATTATTATTAATATTTATTTTGATTGCCATCTTTATAATCTTTATATCTCTAGGTAGTTGTATGTTAGTTGTATCAGTGTTTGTTTGTGCACGTTTTATCTATGAGTATTATTATGAGATTTGTATTATTGCATTCATGTTTAGGAAGTTTCTACTAATTAACAAATCGTCGATTGGTACCAGGATATATAGCTCCTTGGAGTGGAAGGTTCTATTCGCTGTGGGATACAGGTTATGCAAAGATCCACATCCCAATCATCGCATCTGTCTCTGAACATCAGCCAACGACCTGGGTCTCCTTCTTCCTCGACCTGCACATCCTCGTGTGTGTCTTCCCTGCTGGCGTCTGGTTCGTCATTAAGGAGATCAACGATGAACGAGTCTTTGGTCTGCTGCTTAACGTTCATTTCATTCAGTTCATTTATTAATTTAGTTATCTTGAATTTAATTAGTTGTTATTTATTTTTTGGGAGTTCAGTGAGTCATTTAAAAATTGTTACATTAAGATTACGTTACATTGCATGTTACTTTACATTTTCTTGTAAAGAACTAATTGACAGTTTATACCTTCATGAGAACAAAATTATATGCTCACCGTCCACATCACCATTTTTGATTTATCATCATAACCAATCAACAACCTAGCCAGTAAATTAATGAATCAATGCCATGCAGTTGTTTTGTATGCCATTAGCGCTGCATACTTTGCTGGCGTAATGGTTCGATTGATGCTCACCCTCACTCCCATCGTCTGTGTACTCGCTGCTGTGGCGTTCTCCAAAGTCTTCTCCATATACCTCAAGGATGAAAATCAGGCTGATCTTGAAAATGATCTGGAATCAAAAGAAAATGATGAGAAATACTATGATAAGGTTGGTTAGTTGGTTGTTTGGTTGGTCATTGATTGATCGGTCGGTTGGTTGGCTGGTCAGCTTGTTGTTTGATTAACTGGTTAGCTAGTTGTTTGGTCAGCCAGCTTCTCATCATCTGGTTGTACAGATGATTATCAATGTTTTCATCTACTTTCTTGTTACTTTTGTTGTGTTTTGGTTTGAATTGTACAATCTGCACCATTCCTTCTTTTATTTACAGATATCTGGTAATAATTCTTTGAAAATTGATTTGTTGCTGCGCAGGTGGGGAAGAACAAAAAAGTGAAGGAGGAAAAGCCAAAAGAGGAAGGAATCAGCATGAATCTCAAAAGCATCGTTGTTTTTGTATTGCTGATGATGCTGATGATGTTTGCTGTGCACTGCACGTGGGTCACCAGCAATGCTTACTCGAGTCCGAGCATTGTTCTTGCCTCGTACAGCAATGATGGGTCCGTTATGTGTTGTGATTTGTTCATTAGTACTTTGATGGCTTGTTTTTCATTCTGCTTTGTTTTTCTCAATTCTGTTTTGCTGTTGTGTTTGGTCTGTTGTTTTTGCTCCATTATGATTACTTCTCTAATTTCAAAACAACACTTTTTTCTTCTTTAAAACTCATTAAATTTTTTTCATCTTTGTCCATAATTATACTATAATTAAGTACATCAGTGTTCATATATCATTCTTCAACTAGATTATTCGACAGCATGGTGTTGCTTTGCTGAGTGACATGATATGTTAATAGCGCAAATAACTGTCAACCACATCAACAGACATACAGCATCAGCAATCATGACAATATCAACAATCGTCACAATAAAAATTATGACAACCTTTGAAAAACCTCAACAAACAGATCTCGTGTCATCCTGGACGACTTCAGGGAGGCCTACTATTGGCTGATGCAGAACACAGAGGACAAGGCTCGGGTGATGTCTTGGTGGGATTATGGTTACCAGATTGCAGGCATGGGCAATCGAACTACACTGGTCGACAACAACACGTGGAACAATAGCCACATTGCACTTGTTAGCTCGTTTGTTGTTTATTTTAATCATGCTACACAATATAATATTGATAATATTTCAATCAATCAATCAATCAATCAATCTTCGTTTTGCGTCCAGAGACCCGGTTTCCCGAGGTAGGACGTTGTTTTCTTTGCCATCAACTTTTTGCGCCAAATTAGACGATCAGTTTTATCCATTTCATTTAAATTTAGAGCTTTCATGTCTTGCTCGATTGTTTGCGACCAGGACTTCTTTGGACGGCCTTTGGGACGTGTGCCAGGTACTTCAACATCTGCAAGAGAAGTTATGGCACTGTTTCCACTTCGTTTGACATGACCAAACCACCGCAGACGGTGTTGCCGGCATTCGTCCTTTATATCATCTAAACCAGCACGACGCAGGATTTCGGTAGATTTGATGTGGTCCTTCATACTAATTCGTTGCATCCATCGGAGCATTTTCAGATCGGTTCGGTGAAGTTGTTTTTCCAGTTTGGTTGTCATTGGCCATGTTTTTGCACCATATATCAACACCGGACGTATCATAGAATTAGAAAGTTTTGATCGTAGTAGTAGTGGGATGCCATTTATTCCAGGCTGCACGTGTGCGTGCTCGAACGGCAGCTTCAGCTGTTCCAGTACAATCCAGAACATCCCCTAGATATTGAAACGATGTGACTTTCTCTATTTTAATGGCTTCAAAAACAGTGCTATTTCGAATTTGTTGTTGTGGATTGATGCAAGCAGGACAAACAAAATTGGACCCTTTAGATAAAGTATTGATAATATTTTAATCAAGGATTCTTGATTCATCCCTCCATATTCAAACGCTGTTTTGTCACTTGTTATTATTTTTTTATAAGCAAATATACTGAGAATGTGATAATATTCTTTTGTATATTCTCATGCATATGTTTTTCTATTGTCCCACCGTCGAAACTGCAATCGAAACTTTTAAAAAATGTTAAAATATAGACCGTACATCATAAGTGGCATATTTTCATGCAAGGTCAACATATGTAGAATCAAAAAACTAATAAAAGCAAATCATACATACTATTTAGCAAATTAGCAAAATATATTGGTAAATTACAAATATTTTTTTAAATATATGCATATTTTTTATATTCAAATTTAAAAATTTTTATGTTATACACTAGAAATAAAAAATTTTCTAGGCCGGATTTCGGATTTGAGCCGAATTTTCGTCACCTAAGTTTGAATGTATTCATATTTATGTATGTGTCTATGTGCATTATGCACGAGTTGCATGCGTTTACACATTGTAAATTTATTTGTTAGCATGCGAACATGCATGTGAATATATATTATTAGTTGTTGAAAGATTGAACGTGTTGTAAAAATGCAAAATGATTTTAAGCGAGAAGAATTTCGATTGTATCGTTTGGACCATCTGCTGATTGCTGTTGCTATACTGATTATTTTAATTACCTTTAAATTACGAGGCGTTAACACAAAGCACAGTGATTAAAAAATTTGTTTTTTAATGTGCTAACATGTGTGGGGCCTACATAATCGCACATATTTTTATCGCATGTATGTTTTTATGCATGTTTGCTTGCATGTGTATGTTATGTTTGCATGTGAGACTTTACGAGTATTTACAGGAATCGATAATGAGGTATAAATTAAATTTGTATTAAATTTAAGTTATTTTATTGAGTTGTTTATTGATAGGAATGTAATATAAAAAAAAAGTTTTATGCTAGGTTTGAGGCTAGCTAATGAAAGCATAGTGATAAGTTATATATGTTATAAATGCAAAAAAATCCAGCTCCGGCCAGGTTTGCGTTTTTAAATCCGACCAGAGTCGGATTTAAAAAAATCAAATCTACTCTTAACGTTCTATCTAATTTAATGTATTAAAATTTACTACCATTTTTAGCTGAAAACACAAATTTTGATAAACATGAAAAAGTTACTATTTAAAAACTCAAAAAAATAAGTTTTGGTCGATTTTTGACCGAAACCGAAACTCTGGCCAAGACAAAATTGTTTGACCGAAACTGAACATTTGGTCGGCCTCTAGTTTTTCCCAAAAACTCACAAAACATGATGAACACAAGGTTGGAAAAGCAATGTCTTCAAATGAATCAGCTGCTTACGAGATCATGCGCATGTTGGATGTTGATTACGTCCTGGTCATCTTCGGGGGAGTCATCGGCTACTCGGGAGATGACATCAACAAGTTTCTTTGGATGGTGAGGATTGCCGAGGGCGAACATCCTAAGGACATCAAGGTTGCTCTGCTTTTGTCATTTTTTGTTTGTTACTTTATTTAACTTAGTTTGCTTCTCTTGTTTTTTTATCAGATGCATAATTTTTTGGTAGTTTAGCTGAAATGTTATTGACATCTTGTCTGGTAAGATTGTTAAAAGTTGATTAACGTAAATCTTTGCAAGGTTCTTATAATATTATTCTTAAAAGTTGATTGACATGAATCTTTGCAGGAGTCTGATTACTTCACTCCACAAGGAGAGTTCAGAATTGACGTTGGAGGATCACCCACACTCCTCAATTGTCTCATGTACAAACTCAGTTACTACAGATTTGGCGAGTTTCAGGTATTTCTGATATGTTCACAAAATTAAAAATACTGTTTGCTCATATTGAAATTGAATGATTATCTTTAAATGAATGATATCATGGCATTAAATAGTACCTGTAACATCAACATACAAAATTGGAGTGTGTGTGTTTGTGTATTTATAGTGTGTGGTACACGTTCAAATTCATGTGTATACTAATTGGTAAGCTTGTTTGTGCACGCATGTTACTACCCGATTCAACTGTTTGAACCGCTATGCTTTGATTTGGTGTGAATGCCTTTTTGCAAAATTCAAAAACAATTGCATATATGCACTACATACATAACGGATGTGCACGTACCTCATTCATATTAGTACTTGAAGAGATGCTTTTCAACTGCACGCATGCGCCGATCCATAGTTGTAAACCACATATGTCATCCGGTGAAATTTCAAAGTGTCGAGTGCGGAGTTTAACTTTCCAGGAGTCGGAGTCGGATATTTTTCATTCGACTCTGTAAAATGTTGTGAATTAAAATTTTTTTAAAATATTAATTTTTAGAAGGTAAATATATTTAGCGACATGCAATTATCTTAAATGCTGAAAATAAATAATAATAAAATCACATAATTTGTTCGGTATATTTTAAAACATGAATATAAAGTAATTTTACTACGAAAAACAATTATGTTGGCTGATTTAAAGTGTTCTTTAAGTATTTTTTATTGAATTGTGATGATAAGGTAAAACTATGATGCAAAAGTTGAAAAATCTGTCTTGAAGTCGGAACCCGGTTTCTGAGTCTGATGAAAAACATCAGACTCGGACACGCTGTAATTTTTTCACTTCTGTAGCTGTCAAACTTAATATATATTCTCGGTTTTAATTTTGATATGTGAATATTGCAGTTTTTAAAACAATTTTTTTGTCGATCTGTAAATATGAATGGGTTTATTTATATATATATATATATATATATATATATATATATATATATATATATATATATATATATATATATATATATATATATATATATATATATAATAAATCTCCTGAACAGCTGGACTTTAGAACACCGCCAGGATTTGATCGCACAAGAAATGCAGAAATAGGCAACAAGAATTTTAAGCTGGAGTACCTGGAGGAAGCCTTCACAACTGAACACTGGCTTGTTAGGATATACAAAGTCAAACAACCTGTTAATAGACTAAAGAAAAAATTGAAAATATCTGCCAAGAGATATGTTACTAAAAAGGTGCTTTTTCTTTTCTCTGCCATTTTAATTTTTTTAAAGTCTTTTTCATTGGCGGGATTTGTTGCGCGTTCAGGTTATTTTGTTTTAGGGTATAAAAATCCAATTCAGTCAGGCAAGGCAAACATTACAAGTAAAATAGTAAATGGATGTAGAATGTGTTTTCATAGAGGTAGTTTCATTGGTTTCAGTGAAAGATTGGTATTGACCTAGAAAGTATATTATAAAAAATGAACTTCGCTTGTCAAAACCCGAGAGCAAAGCGTTTGATGTATATATGGCACGTGTTGCATGTAAGAGGTAGGTGCATGTACCTTAAAAACTCTCACCTTTCTGATCCTAGTATTCAATTTCATAATTTTTTGTTTCCTGCTGATTTACGTCATCTGACGTTATAAGTTCAACTTGTTCGAATAGCGAGTCAAAAACTGTTACGAAGTTTCTTTAATGCACTAATTTTACGCTTTCATTTTCAGACGGATAAAATGGAGATATTTTTAAATTGTTATTCTAATGTATTTTAGATTTGTCTTTATATTATATAATGTAACATAATATAGTGTAAGGTACGATAAATCAAAACATTGTTAAATTTTTAAAAACTTCATATAACTTCTTTAGTTTGCTAATTGTTTGCTTTCATTTTCAGACGAATAAAAGAAAGAAGGGAACCTTCAAGAACCCACCCACAGTTGTTAAGGGAAAGAAGGCTGCCAAGTGATCGACAATCATTGTTTTTTTTAGCAAAATTTTTACTTTATCATTTATTTTTTAAATGTGGGTTGGTTTTATTGATGTTAGGTTTCCAGCTATTACATAGGTGTTTGAATGTGTGTGATTGCGTGCCTGTGTTGTCTATGTTTGTTTTATTTATGCATTCTTTCGATATAAACGTGCATTATATGACGTGTGGTTAATGTTTAATTAATCAAATATTTCATTAATAATATCGATCCTCCTCCAATTTGTTCGAATGTCCATTTAATAATGATTGTATCATTTTTGTTTTTCAACTTAATTGTTTTTTATATGTTTTTTTTATTAATTAATATCATTATTGTTGCTGTTGTTGGTTAATTGAATTCCTCGTATAAACAGAGATGTTACAGTTGTTGGATATTAACAAATTGTACAAGGAGTTGTTGGGTTTTTTATTTAGATGTTTTTAACTTAACTAAAATTACTTCCTAATTCTATAATTTATATCACTAATATAAAAAATTGATTCATTCTTTCAAATAAAATTTTGAATCAGAGTTATTTGGATATCTGATCAGAATCAGATTTATCATTATAGAAATCGTCCGCTTGAATTAAATTAAATTCAATTAGATTGCCGGTAGGTACAAGATTTAGCCATTTTCGTATTCGAAAATCCCGCTAATTTTTATAATTAGGTCGCGGTAAAATTGCTTATAACCTGCAGGGTGCATTAGTACGAATATTTTGATAAGTCTGAGTCATATTTTTCATTTCACTCCGGAAAATGTGAATGTATAACAAATTTTTTTTGTTCTCAAATTTTTAGTTAGAAAGTTCCAGTTGATGATGCTCTTTGCTGCTTGTTGATTTGCGGTTTTCTTTGGCCAATGAAGATCGCTCCAGGAGTTCTCAGGTGGTTGTGGTTTTTGTTACCGTATATCATACTAGTATTGTCTACTAGTATCTCCCGTGATGAGATCGTTTTATGTATCGTTTCCAGGTGAGGTCATCATTACTGACCGGAAAAATATTATTGAAAGACTTTACAAGCAAAAAAATTAACAGAACAAAGATATAATAAACGGATAGGACAAAGTAGAATAAAAGCACTGCATACACAGAGAATTGTAAAACCTTGAAATATTCTTATATAAGCGCTGGTGATAGATAAAATCGAAATATGGCCTATATATGCTTCACCAACCAATGATTTTATTATTAATTCTAATAAATTAAATAATAATTACTGCTGGAAACATTGAAAAGCTCAATCATAAACTTTCAAAAAGCTAAAAATTTGGTATATTTTATCAAATATTGCATATATATATATAAATATATATGAATAAGACTCTACGTTAGTAAGCTTCCTGTTTAATTTTTCTATTGGTAGATCCTAAGTCATTGTCAAACTTCATGAGTTCAAAAAATAATAGAACAAAAAAGCTTTTTTCGGTATTCCTATACGATCTTCGAACTGATATACTGTGTCTATACAATGTTAAATTTTTTTTGTTTACTGTGAATACTACCCATACTTACGGGCAAATATGAACCAGGATATGCTTACGGTACTGTCAATACACATAAAGCCAACAACCCTGTACGACCAATAAAATCAGCCAAAGACCTGCAATCACATACCCTATTGCAAAAATGTTCAACAAAATGATTACACCTTTACGCTGTAGGTTTTGGTGGCTAAATTGGTTTAACCACCCAAAATGATTTTAACACAGCTACATTTGATATGCACATATATTTATAATTGTTAAATGCAATATTATAAAAAGTCATGGCACATATTTTGTAATGTGATTACACCTACTCCGATCAACGACCAGTCTGGCGGCAGCATTCCGGATTTGTAGAACTTTATTTATTACTTCTACACCAGCGTCACAAACATACCTTCATACCTCTGACACCCAATTTAGTCTTTTTCTCTGTAATTACCTTAATTTAGATATTCTGGACCACCACCATGCACGCAACTATGACCCACCATTGTCTTAATTCCTACGTTTCCTTCCTGATCTGTAATCAGTGTAGGTTCTCCAATCACTTTTTCAATTTTATCAGACTAATGACCAACCTGGAAGCAGCACTCTAAATTTGTTTAACTATATTTATCACTCTTACAAAAGCACCACACAACATCGAACCGCAGCAGTAAGTAGTCCAATCTAGTCAATAAAAAAGACACCGCCAGGTTAATAAAAAAATCAGCTGGAAAACATTTTTTGACCAGATACAATCGTTGCAGTTGTAGAAAGCAAGAGGTATCACCACCTAAAGCAGCATTGCCAAAGCACTGCCAAATTGATCACAACCATGTTATTGACCTTAATCAGTTCAAACTACTCTATTTAGAATATATAAGTTGTGCAAAGAATTGGGCTGAGGACAGATTGTATGGCATTCTAGAATCAACCATATTTTTGGGTATGTCGTATAACACCTTCACATGTGGATCTTAAATGGTTGACAGACGAAAATGGAAAAATAGTTATTGATTGGTATTAAATGCTATATTTGACGTATTGAATCTTTTTCATCAAAGCTTATGCATGCATTGTACGCCGTTATATAGCTATTTCATCGATATTAGTTTTTCTATACTTAATGTTTGCTTTACAAGAATTACAGACCTTCCCCACCCCCAGGGTCCAGGTCATAATGCGGCCATCTGCTGGTTTACTGGTGTCGTACTTGTATGTATCTCTTGTGCGCGTGTGCGTGTGTGCATGTATCTGTCGTTTAACGTTGAGGAAGGCTATGGAGGTATTCTAAGTATATGGAGGAAATAATGAGTTTAGCTTTATTCGTCGTGAGGTAATAATTAACAAAACGATTCATTTTAAGTAATTGCTGATTGGCTTCTGCTATGAAAAAGTAGATTCGACTACATTATATGGCGTCACATCAACACAACACTAATCCTTCAAGTCAGCCCGCAGTTAGGTTGTTTCGTAGAATGCTCTTTTGCAAATTTTTGTTTGAAAATTTGATACGCTTAACGTCTCAAATTTTGATGAAAAAATTCATAAGGTTCTGAATCAAATTCAATTCCGCCTCCTGCTGTAGTTACGAACTTATTAATACGTACATCAATATATATATATATATATATATATATATATATATATTATTGTCATCTAAAAATTTGTAAAACGCCAATATGTATTGGCAGGGGCGGATCCACCGGGGGGGCCTGGGGTGGCCGGGCCACCCCATGCCCTTGCACCGGCCCCCCCACCGGCCCCCCCACCGCAAAATAACAACATTTCAATATGCCCCTATTGCCCCAAAACATCGATTTACATAGAGTTTGATATTGCAATTGCGCGAAATATTTTGAATACTATAAAACAAAACATGTGCATAAAATGTGTGCATTAATTTTTACCGATCCGATCTAGATATTTTAATACTCTTTTATAATAGAACTTTTAGCACATCGCTATTTTGTTATCTGTTCTGCTTTTGAACCGTTCCATGGAAACTGTTTACTGATCTTTATTAAATCACTTAACACATTACACATTTCTGTAATTATCCAATATTCTAATAATGCCGACTGAAGAGAGAAATAGAAAACGAAAAGAAGAGTTAATTAATCAAGCCGCCGCTAAATGTTCTCGATTAAATCAGTTTTTTAGGTTGGTCAATCTTTCTTTCTGTTTCTATTCATCTTTCTTAAAACATTAAACTGTAAACAATAAACATAAACATCATAATCATAACATAGTTTGTTACTTATTATACAAATAAATATTTATATTTTAATTTTGTTTGCAAACCAAACACCAGTCGCCCAAATTGCTGATTTTCTCTTTCAAGTGCCGTTTTTGTATTTTATTCATAAATATTATTCCTGGCGAAGTTTTAAATAAAAAATGAAGGCTCGGATAATTAATTTTTGGTTTTTAAGAGTTTGTGCGTGTGGTTTTTGGATTATACACAGTTCGATAACGTTTTATTATATAACATCTTAATATTCAACAAAAATAAATTATCAGTTTTATTTAAATTAATTATAGAGCGACAACTGATACCGCCGAATTTATTAATGAAATGCCAACTACAAGTAAAATTTCTGTTGCATCTTCAAGAACAAATATCCACGTGTCTAATGAAATGGAGGTTAACTCCTCCCAGAGTGAGCATCATCTTTGTGATGACAGTGATAGAGATA